GTTGCCCCCTGTTCCAGTGAGGCGGAGCAACTAGCCTCGTCCGATTGCCAAGTCTTCTATGTTTACCATATACGTCCCATCACGCATGTGCATCCCTATCATCTCCACATTTGCACACCGAGGTCTTCCAAGGATTATGTCATGATCCATTTCGCCCATGACAATCATTCATTGGAACGACCAAATGGACTCCCTGACTCCCGCCTTCACAATGCGTACTTAGTAACGTATCCGGAGATTTCCCTCTCGTCTTCCCGGATACTTCTAGTTGTCTCTTTGTTAACTGCACATCGTGTAATTTTTGCAAAGTCCTTCCTGATCAGCGTAATTTCAACCCCTCCATCCACCGCCGCATTTGTGCGATGGGTCCTGATTTGTACTTTCAGGTTTCCCACTGGCAGCGAATGGAAACTGAGTTTTGTTCCCGGCGGTGCCCTCATAATTTCCCCACCTTCACGATCTGGTAAGCTCAGACGAATGTTTGCGAAAACCTTTTCCAGGTCTTCCAGATCCCTGAGAATCCTCTGAAGGTTGGCGACTTCTCGCGGCGCTTCCTACTCCGTTTCTTTTTCCCGAGCTTTCGGACTTTCCTCTACCTCTACTCGCTGGCGGGTCAGCAATTGTCTAAGACCCTTCAAGAGTTTAGGACTTGCTTGCATCATGGTCTGGAATGATATTGACACCATGGTCCCGACTCCCTAGTAGCTTGTTGAGGGTGTCGTCGATCTCGGATATAGTTAGAATGAGGATCTGATATCTAAACTTTTTCTTGGTGGAGGCCGCCGTGTCCACTGGACCCTCCTCTCTAGGCTTTCTGTAAACCTTCTCTTGTTCGTTAGCCCCTGCCTCATGTGGCGCTCTCAAGCCTTCCCCTGTGTCTCCCATTACAACGTCCTCCACGATCTTCTTTTCTGTTGTTCGCTGCTTCGTAATCACGTTCACCTTATCCCACACGTTGCTTTCTAGGATGAAATTAGTATGTGCCCCTCGTCCCCGGGCCTTATCCCAACCGATTTTTGCTATTGGCTCTGCTTCCACCGCCGCGACGTCGAAGTTGTTAAGAGCAATTATGACTCACTGCATCCCTCCTGGGGAATTTCGGTTCACCTTCTCTCCGTGGGGTCCGATGATATCCCCTTTTAGCGTTCTAGAACACCTCTTCCGCATAATATCATAGTTGAATCTTGGACAGGCCCATGCAAAGTGGTCAACCATTGTGCAATATCTGCAATTCTCGTTAGTTGGGTCCCTCCTATTGAATCTCCGATTGGTCACTACTTTCGGAACCACACCTTCTTGCGGAGGGAACGAGGGTCGAGTTGTTTAGGCCTGCGTTACCATTAGCGTGTTTTTTACCCTCTTGATCTTGTCGTCCACTCCATAGACGGGCTCGTGAAAACTTTTTATTCCCCTTTTCACCTTATCCCTTGTCTTACCAGTTAGATCTATGACCTTTCCTTCTTTTAGCAGGGTAAGAGATTCGATCACGACCCCCTTTTTGGCAATGTTCGTCACTGTACTAAAATCGACATCCCTCATATTTACGAATTTCGTCGTTTGCTGGTAGGCTGACAAGATCTTGTCCTTGTCAAACTTGGTAAACCGTCCAAGGAAATATTTGTTCATTTTGCGATCCGTTACCCCCAGAATCCGCAGTGCCATCAGGGTGAACTCCCTTAGGAAGTCATTATACGTTGTGAAAGTCTTCCTTTGCACCACAACCAACTCGGTTTTCGTTGCCATTTTCTCGGCTGCCAGGTATTTCTTCATCATCACATCTCGGGCTTCCTTCTAGGACCCGTTGACCTCAACGATAGCCATCATGTCTCTCCCCAAATTCACCGATACGTGTTGTCCTAGGTGGTCAATCCTTTCTTCCTCGCTCCACCTTAACAATGCGGCCAGATTCTCGTAGTCTATCGTGATTTTTTTTTATGTTTGCCACATCGAACGTCAACTTCTTCTTGGCATCAACCAGGTATCCCTGGTTTCTGTTTAATGTATGCGTAAGGGAAAACACCATTTTTTTGAGTCCTCCCTCAGATCCTCTTGTCTCGCCGGCTGTGTCGGACCTCTGTCCTTCCTTACCGGCTTCTAGCCCGTCTCCGACTTTCGTCGTACCCTCAGGGCCTCAGGGTCAAACCATCCTAACACCCTTTCTCTTAAGCTTCAGAGTCCCTCGCATCCTCTTGTGACCATTGACGTGGTCGTTGGCCGGCTTGCCCCGCTGTCTATGGTCAGTGGGATCGTAGTTTTTTTTGCCTCCCTCTCTGGGGACCTTGTCCTTTCTTTCCCATTTTTACTAGGTGTCCCTCTGCGTTCCCCGATCCTATGTCCAATATCATCCTGGTTCCCTCGGCCTTGGTTTGTTCTTCGTTCTTCGTGATGCCTTGCCCCGACAAAATCCCCCTCGCTTTCATTCAACATTTCTTCCATCAATTTTGCTTTGTACTCAGCCGTCCTCTTTTCGACCTCTATCAATTTTCTTCGAGCGTCTGTCAGTCTCACCTTTTTTGATAGCACCCCTTCCAACACCCGTGGCGCTAGGCCACCTTTCTCTTTATCTCCCCCCGTTTCTTGGGTCCCTCGCTTGCTCCCGTCGGTTTTTCCTAAGATCTCCCCCATTGTAACTTTCTTCCTTCGTCTCTTAGAACCTTCCGGGTTTGTTGCCTTCCGGTCCCTCAGAACCCCTTCGTTTTGCTCTACGTTCCCCCTTACATTCTGACCTCTCTTGCTTCCTTGATCTCCTGCCTCGTCCTCCGTTGCCATTTTTCCTAATCCTGCACATAGCAAAAAAAAATTCCTGGGGGGCAAGCCGTTCGGGGTTTTTAGGATTTTCATATCCCAAATCTTACCGTTCGCCGCTTCTAGAAAATAGCACCCCCATTTTCGCCATTCGACGTCCTCCCTGACGAAGATCATGATAGGCCCGTCTAACCATCTAACTAAGGAATAATATTATAATACTCAATCTCTCCCTCGATGAGCTCATTGATCCTGCCCAGCACCCACTATAATGTGCATAGGATCTCGGACCATATGCCCTGACGACGCGGATTCCTACTTTTCTTCAGAGTCAACATTTTTCTTTCCTTTCTAAGAACAATCTCAATATCTTTAGCAATAATGGTTACCCCAACCCTTTCCCAGTCTTTACTTAAATAAAATGAGAGCTCGACCATATCCCCCTCTTGCTGAGGAAGTCATACCTATAGCAAGGCTCCTCTTGAAGGTTGCACCTCTGCTCAATGTTTATAAGAACCCATACCTCGCTTCGGGTGGGTAGTGTTTACATCTGTCACGAAGGACTTGGCCTAACCGGGAGTGACCCCTTTCTTGATTACAGCGGCTTACACATTCCATGGCGGTATCGTGCACCATAATCAGGTATTGGATGGTCAACTGATAGACGTCACTTAGGAGCGACGGTGGTATGCGGCTTCCCTAGCTAATGTTGCCTTCCTGCTCACAGTGCTACAAAAGCGACTCCAACAGTTCTCCTCCTATGGTGGTTTTTGCTGTAAACTCCATGAAGGGTTTGCGCCCCTTCAACTTCCTAGGCGTCGGAAAGGGTCTTTTTGCAGCGAGTATGGGCAGAGGTGAAAGTCCCGGCCCCCAGAATTTTTCTAGTGTCGGTCGGGTCCTTGGCGGTAGTAGGGTGCCGACACATTGGGTAAGGGTATTCCGTGGTGGATAATGATCATCCCAATCGGGCTCACATAGGTTGAAGGGTTGTGCCCAAAGTCCTCCAACACACCGGTCATTGTCGTGACTCAAAATGTTGTTGACCCTTCCATTTCTATTGGCGGCCTGGCCGCCCCTCGATCCTGATGTACCGTCCGGATGCAGAACCCGTCTGCGAATATTCTGCAGAAAGCCATCATGACTTTGCAGAACCAGTAGAGTAACTCTGACTCGATCTAAGCCACGTCCTTCATCCTAGGTCCAGAGAATCTCAGAGAAATCGAATCTTCCTCCTCTTCTTTGGTCATAAATACTCATTGGAGAACAATCGTTATGACTCTGGGCCATAGGCCCCCGTGAGATAGGTAGAATGAGAAGCCTGGCACCTCCTTATATTCCTTATCCAAAAACGGATACCGATAGCAAGGCGGCCCCAACAAGATTCAAAATTACCTCTTACCCATGAATCGTCTGACTTTCTATTTAACCGGATCCTCCTGCATCCTTTTCCACCTCAGGGTCCTTCCTACCCTATATACCCCTTCACCGTCTACCCGCCTTGCCGCTTCGATGGTCTCTTCCACCCATGTCGCATGTAGGACGGACATGTAGAACCTTCTATTCTTCCACTAGGGTCTTTTGGCCTTTCCAGGCCGGATTCTCCGTCGATTGGTACCTCCTTTCTACTTTGCACGGATCACATATTACGTCGTTTCCTCGACAAAGCACGTACCCCTCTTGGGCTTTCGGTGGTCGCCGGGCCTCCATCTCTAGGGTTCCTGCAGCCAATCGACACGGAAGGATCCCACTCTTTAGATTCTTTTTTCGTCTCCATCTTTCCCTCAGCCGTCCTGCTCCTTTCCCCTTTTAATGATGATAACCCCTGCCCTTACTTAGTAATGCGCAATATTTCATTCTCATTAGACAACCCTTTCTACGCATCTCACACTTGCTCTACGGGCTCTACCTGCTCTGCAGGATCCTCAAAGAGTCGCACCACCCGGACTAGGTAGTTTTCCCCCATCTCTATTTCCCTTATGATTATGGGCTCATATTTGGAATAGGTCAATCGTGGTGTCCCAAACACCAGAATGTCGATGAACTCGAGCAACTCCCAAGCCCTATTTCCCCAGAATGACCCATGCTTTACCCATACGTCGTAAAAATTTGTCGATTGTCTATGGCTGAAAATTGTGTACCCAAATTAGGGTTGCTTTCGCCAGGTCCCTTCCCCTTGAGAGACTTCGGAAAACCAGATCTATTATGAAGCGGGGCACTTGACACCGCAATCGAGGCGATGGGATCCTAAACTCCCGCCATCCTCCTATTTTCACCTGGGTCCTACATTCCTCCTTCCTCAAATTTCTTGGCATATCCGGGCCAACGCCCGGGCCGCCCTCCGAAAGATTGGCAGTAGGTCATTCCCCTAGGCCATCGCGATCCCTAGCATGTGCCATCCGATCTCAGGTAGGTACAAAGTTCTGGTTACCCTTAGGTCGGTATACAAATCATCCTCTGGTCCTTGATTAAGCCACCAGTACCTAGCGGTTGTTAAGGCCCGTGGCTCAGCCTACCGGTATCCCGAACCTTGCCGAGCCTCGAGCTACCGGTAGGTACACATGGGAAGAAAAAAAGAAGACGAAAAAAAAAAAATTCGACATTCTTCTGCAAAAATAAAAATAAAATTGAAAAACAAAGATATCCGTTTGCACTTTCCATCTTTGGGTCGCGTGGAGAGAGAGAGAGAGAGAGAGATAGATAGAGAGAGAGAGAGAGAGAGAGAGAGAGAGAGAGAGAGGGGCATTGCACGGCTGGCCGCGTCCATCTTTGCACTTTCCTGCACGACGGCTGGGCAGTCCACACAACAAAAAAGTGAATGAATCTTGCCGCCTTGTAGCGGAGGATTCATTCCCATTTTTCATGGTAGTCGCGCTAGCAAAAGCGCTAGAGAGAGAGAGAGAGAGACAGACAGACAGACAGACAGAGACAGACAGAGAGAGAGAGAGGCGCCTCGTTCGACGCGGCCAGCCGTGTAATACGCGGGCTCTCTCTCTCTCTCTCTCTCTCTCTCTCTCTCTCTCTCTCTCTCTCTCTCTCTCTCTGCCTTCACGACGGCTGGGCAGTCCACACAACAAAAAAGTGAATGAATCTTGCCGCCTTGTAGCGGAAGATTCATTCCCATTTTTCATGGTAGTTGCGCTAGCAAAAACGCTAGAGAGAGAAAGAGAGAGAGAGAGAGAGAGAGAGAGAGAGAGAGAGAGAGAGAGAGAGAGAGAGAGGCGCCGCANAGAGAGAGAGAGAGAGAAAGAGAGAGAGAGAGAGAGAGAGAGAGAGAGAGAGAGAGAGAGAGAGAGAGAGAGAGACCCTTAGTCTACTCAACGGCCGGCTTCTACCCGTCCTATCGTCCTACCTAAGACCCCTTTTAGGAACCGGAGCCTTATGTAACTTTCAACATGATACCGATTGGCCAAGGAGGTGGAGGAGGAAGAAGGTGTAAAGGTACTTGGCTATGGCGGATGCGTGGAGGTGGAGGGGGAAGAAGGTGTGAAGGTACTTGGCTATGTCGGATGGGTGGAGGTGGAGGAGGGAAAAGGTGTGAAGATACTTGGCTATGGCGGATGGGTGAAGGAGGTGGAGGAGGAAGAAGGTGTGAAGGTGCTTGGCTATGGTGGATGGGTGAAGGAGGTGGAGGAGGAAGAAGGTGTGAAGGTGNGATGGGTGAAGGAGGTGGAGGAGGAAGAAGGTGTGAAGGTGCTTGGCTATGGTGGATGGGTGAAGGAGGTGGAGGAGGAAGAAGGTGTGAAGGTGTTCGGCTATGGTGATGGGTGAAGCAGGTGGAGGAGGAAGAAGGTGTGAAGGTGCTTGGCTATAGTGGATGGGTGAGGGAGGTGGAGGAGGAAGAAGGTGTGAAGGTGCTTGACTACGGTGGATGGGTGATGGAGGTGGAGGTGGAAGAAGGTGTGAAGGTGTTTGGCTATGGTGGATGGGTGAAGGAGGTGGAGGAAGGAGGTGTGAAGGTGCTTGGCTATGGTGAGGGAGGTGGAGGAGGAAGAAGGTGTGAAGGTGTTTGACTATGGTGGATGAGTGACGAGGTGGAGGAGGAAAAAGGTGTGAAGGTGCTTGGCTATGGTAGATGGGTGAAGCAGGTCGGGTAGGAAGAAGGTGTGAAAGTGCCTGAGTATGGTGGATGGGTGAAGCTGGTGGTGGAGGAAGAAGGTGTGAATGTGCTTAGCTATGGTGGATGGGTGAAGGAGGTGGAGGAGGAAGAAGGTGTGAAGGTGCTTGGCTATGGTGGATGGGTGAAGGAGGTGGAGGAGGACGAAGGTGTGAAGGTGTTTGGCTATAGTAAATGGGTGAAGGAGGTCGGGTAGGAAGAAGGTGTGAAGGTGCTTGGCTATGGTGGATGGGTAAAGCAGGTGGAGGAGGAAGAAGGTGTGAAGGTGCTTGGCTATGGCGGAAGGGTGAAGGAGGTGGAGGAGGAAGAAGGTGTGAAGGTGCTTTGCTATGGTGGATGGGTGAAGGAGGTGGAGGAGGAAGAAGGTGTGAAGGTGCTTCACTATGGTGCATCGATGAAGAAGGTGGAGGAGGAAGAAGGTGTGAAGGTGCTTGGCTACGGTGGATGGGCGAAGGAGGCGGAGGAGGAAGGTGTGAAGGTGTTTGGCTATGGTGGATGGGTGAAGGAGGTGGAGGAGGAAGAAGGTGTGAAGGTGCTTGGCTATGGTGGATTGGTGACGGAGATGGAGGAGGAAGAAGGTGTGAAGGTGCTTGGCTATGGT